TGAACTAGCGAGTTGCCTTTAAGTCAAATACACAAAACTGCAAAACACCAAAACTAACTATTTCCGAGAACATACTTGGTTTGGGTCGCCGAAAACAATAGCGTCTGGCGCGACTTTGGGAAATTTTCTACCACCGCATTAACCTGCCTTTCGAATCCCATGTCCAATATGCGATCGGCTTCGTCAAGAACTACAATTTGAAGCACCTTGAAACGGAATACGTGTAACTGGCTTTAATTATTTACCCAACATCTGAAGGTCACTGCAGTCGAAGAACGGCGTTTCGTCCATGTGTTGCAACAGTCGCCCGGGGGTACAAACAATGATATTTGTCTGATTTATAGTTAATTTTTCGAATTTTGTGTCCTGAATAAAAGGAACGTTCGCAAAAGCTTGAAAAAGTACTAAATCGGCTAAATGAGAGCAGCAGCAATAGAACCAGCATCAACAACAATAATATAACGGACATTAATACTCTCATTGTAGTTCATTCTTATACACAAAATTTTCTGGCGCCGCAAGTGTCTAAGGGTGTCCCACATGCGAACTAATCTTTTTGAAAATGGAGAATTTTCAACCTGTCAGATGATTATCTTCTCTACGGTTCAGTTGATGGCAATAATCTTACACTGATCCTACGATATGGCATCGGTCTCCATTTCGATGCAGTCAGTCAGGATTCTTTAAGAACAATATTTATAGCTGGAAGATTACTACAGCACATAATTTCCTGCTTCCTACTACGTACAGAAATACTCATTTATAAACCATTTAATAGCGAAACCGAGCGATCCGACTGATTCAAACCCCGATATTTCCACATCCGTTCTGGCCTGCTACTCCACCGGCAAACTACCTAGATACCAGAGCAGATTTTAACCTCCTCATGTCATTTTGTGACCTATATTCCCAGGGGTTGCTTAACTCTATTTCGCTATAAGAAAAACTAATGAAGAACTTCAGCTTGTTTGTTGTTCGCACAATTGGTTGTTCTATGTTTTGAAAGTTTCTTATTCTTTTCAACAATCTCAGTCTCACAGATCCACATTCACGACATCGTGTATTGAGAATTCCATTTCGTGTACCGATGGAAGACACTCTGCTGAAATCTTTGATCGTTGATGTTTTTCGATTTTAATTTAAATTCCGATTCAGACTGAGACGAAACCAGGAGGCCAGTATATGTCTGTACTAAGAACCAGTGGAAGATAAAAAAAGATAACGATAAGATATCTAAGTCAAAGACGTGTATGAGAATCGACAAATCGAATGATAAATGCATGATATCAGGAACTCTATGGAGGAACTCTATGATTAGACTGCAACACTGCTGCGATAAGGAACGTCTTCTCACAACGTGATAGAGAAACGGAATTAGGAACAAGGAGTTACCATCACTTATTAGAGAAGAAAGCAACAAGCGCACCAGACGAAGGCTACTGTATATACTGGAGATTTATATCAATGAGGTAATATGAACAACAGATCACAAATACAGGCCTTCGACTAAAACAATCACAACTAATGAATCTTTCCAATAATCTAGATAAAAACGAAGTAAGAGTAAAAGCTGAGAGACCTCCTCTTGACGTTTGTTACGCAAACCAATCTAGGAAAATAGGTAAGACCAAACCAAAATGAACTGATGGCGTTTTGTCGCCGTCTGGGCTCTTCTTTCTAAAAAAGACGGATGTTCCATAGAATGAATGTTCCAAATTCTGGAATACAACGGATACTGAGCAAACAGTACAGTATCTCCATTTACGTTCATTACAGGCAAAACATGCTTCTGCTGTTCGCTAAGAGAGAGTGGTGCCCTCCGACGCGTACATGTGACTACCTCCGCTTTTCACACAGTTCTAGACGTCATAAAAAAAGGCATTCCAGCTGATGACCAAATCGAATATTATAAGCAAAGGAGCATTAACTCCAGGAAAGAAGGGTGCAAACGGCTTTATCACGAACCTATAAAGATTTCCACATCCTAACTCTTACAAACTTTACTTATCCTTTAACAAGCACATGCCAGGAGACGATCACAAAGTACATTACTTTTCTTCGTTCAAAAATCAAAAGCTTCAAGTAACATTCATAAAAC